TCTAGGGAGGCAGATGCTACCATTGATGTCACTAGAAAACAGAGATAAAGGTTCAGCTTTTATGGTTACTGTTAATGCCCATTCTGTGGAGATTACTAGAGTATCAGGAACTGAAGGGACAAAGATAATTGCTACCTTTTCATCTCCTAATTCTAATCCAGAGGATTTCAAGAAGTTAGGTCATATGCTTCACCTTAAGTACAGAAATGGATTTTTGAGAAGGGGTGGCTATACTGAGGCTTCTGTATATTTGGTTACTTTCATTGGCTTGTGGTCAGTCCTTGTTATTTCATCAGCCATCATTGATGTGGATGATGATTCACTGGCGTCCATGATAAAGGGGTGTAAGGACATGGATCAAAATACAGCTCTTCATCCAAGCAGGAAAATGTACCATGGGGAAGCTGCAATGAAGGTAAATAACAACAAATTAGTTTTTTATGCAAAGCAAGCCAAATGGATGACTTGTGGAGAGAATCCAAAGCCACCTGTTCTCTCTGTGGATGGACTAGATATGCTACCACCACATGGAATCACCATTAGGACCCACACTGCTGCTCTTGTAGATGCATCATGGGCTATCCTACGCTGCTTGAAAGCACCAACTAAGAATCTTACCTTGGTAAAATATATCTTTTGGGAATTTGCAACATCCAACAGTTGTGATTGTTCTATGGACCAAAGAGTGTTGATCTGCCATCTACTTTCAGAGATTGAAGGACTTCATCTGAGGAACAAATAAGGGTCACTAACGAAAGCTTTGACCTTGAGGACAAGGTCAATCTTAAGGGGTTGGGAATGTCACATGTCTATTAAGGGGAGTCCACGTGTCAAGATATTAGATAATGGGATAAGATTTGAAGGTGGTTAGTGGGTAAGTAAAATCGGGTGAGTAGAAGTAGGACAAATTAAGTGGGACACATTGTTAGTGACGTGTAGGGATTAATTTGATTTTTTGTAATTGTATGTGAAACATGTCTATGGTGCTTGTGTTAGTACATGGCTGAGTTTAGTGTTTAATGCCTTATTTGTAGGGGGGGTTAGTTAGTTCAGAAAGTCATGGTAATTTGAGAGTTAATTGGAGTCTATATATATTCTTGTAAGTATCGTTTTGAGGATATGAATTAAAGAATTTTACCTAAAACCATTTGGTTTTTATCGGAGGTCTCTAGTCTCCCTTGAAGAAGACGAAATTTATGTTACATCCTATTCGGGATCATGACAGTTTTCTTTTTACAGCAAGTTGTGAGACCATGCACCACCTGCTATCTTCCCGTTCACTCACTTCAAGCATTTCGGAGTATTTATTTCTTTATTTGGTTATAGGTGAAATGCTCTTGGGGACATCAAAACCGTTTTCAGCTCTTCTTTTCTCTCTCTATCTAAGATGAGGGGCAAGTTGCTATAAGATGCAGTAGAGCATCCATCCTTTGGTGTGTGTGGTAAGAAAGGAATGCCAAAATATTCAGAGAGAAAACACAAACATAATAAGTTATTATAGAAAACATTTCTGTTAGGGTTGCGGATCAGTTAGAGCTGAGCTTCTAGCGGCAGTACAAGGCATTCAGGTTGTGGATCAGTTAGGAGTTCAAAATTTGATTATTGAAGGAGACTCCAAAGTTGTTGGGGGTTGGCTAAAAAATCCAGATTCAGTGATCTGGTGCTACAGGGGTATTATGAGGAAAGCTAAATGGTTATCAAGGAACATGAATGTTATTTTTCAGTGGGTGGGTAGAACAGCTAACACCATAGCGGATGGGTTAGCTAAACAAGGGGTATCAAGGGAAGAGTTATTCTGGGCAGCTTTGTAAATTTTTTGTTACTAGTCTGCGGTAGTACATTGTTGCTATTGTGGAGAGGTGCCAGCTCGTGCCCCTCCTTTGGGAAGGCTGTATTGTAATATCTTATTGAATAAAATTCAATCTTTTATCAAAAAAAAAAAAAAATCTGTTAATGTGGCTCATTGGGTTATTGGATGCTTTCTCCCCTTACACTATTTTTTGTTTTTGGGTAAAAGATTTGAACATACCTTGTGTTTTTAAAATAGACTTAAAATATACCTTTTGGCTATAAAATGACGTTTTTACCCTAAATCATACTCTAAATTTTCAAAAAGAACCAAAAAGACCCAGATACTGTTCATCATTTCCTATTCTCCCAAACATCACCATTCAAATATAGAGATCTCAGCTGGCTCATCTTCCCCATTCTCTCCCTCCATCTTTATTATCTCCCCCTCTTTTTTCTCTCTTCGTCTTCGTCTTCTTCTCTTCCCTCTTCTTGCTTATCTTCCCTATTTCTCTCCCCCTCTCTTTTTTCTGCTGTTATGCTCAAGCACCAGTCCCCCTATTTTAACCTCTCTACTACGTTATCCATCCACAGGCCCCCTATTTTAATCTGAAAACTGTTGCAATTGCACTTGCAGAAAGTCGGAAACAGAGTAAGAAATATTGTTTTGGAACAGTCAATATTTCAAATGGTAAAATAGGATTTTAGAATATTAAACGGGTTCATGAAAGGGGAGAAGAAATGAGGGTATGTTTAAGTTCAATGGGACAGCCCACAAGGTATATTTAGGTCTATTTACAAAACTCAGGGTATGTTTAAGTCAATTTATGAAAATTCAGGGTATGTTTAAGTCTTTTACCCTTTGTTTATTTTCCGAAGTTGAATATTAGACTGGGTGTATTTAATAAAGCCTACATACAAGGCCAAGAAAAGCAGTATTTAATAAAACCATAAGAACACTAACCAAACAATTTCATGTGGTCTCTCTTTAAGCCAACAAGACAGGTGGGTGGCAGATAAGCAGCATCCAGACAATGATTTTTAATCAAAGGGGAGTGTATCAGCCAAATTGACATATTTTCAATGATAATAACAACCTTCCCATGCCTTAAAATTTTCTATGACCCATTTTTCTCCTCCAGCAAACTCTCTAAAAAACCTGGAACTATGTAAGAAGAAAAGAATCGTCATTCAAGATGATAATAACAAAATGAAATGAAGAAATGATTTGTAGAGTCCACAAAAATAAAGAAATTTCTGTGCTTCTGTTTTTTTTTTTTTTTTTTTGGGCACAATTAGTTCTGCTTCCCTATCTACCATCATTACCATCATTTGCTCCTTGCAAAGACCTGTCCTTTGTCAACTTTAAGCTGAGACTATTGAACTGTTCTCTGGAATACTGCCTGATGCTTTCCTCCAATCTGTACTGGCCTTCATCATTGTGGCAAACTCCTAACTAATGTGCCCATCTTGTTTGTGTCAATGTCATGGGTAATGGCATTAATGACTTCCTCATTGTTGGAGCCCTCTTCATCAGCCAATGCTTCCCATAGTTCTTCAGTTCAAAGAAAGGCTTTCCGCAAGTTTTCATCATTGCCCAACTCTCTTAGGTGAACTGAAACTACAACAAACTCCCCATAGTCCAAAGCTCCATCCCCATCTATGTCAGCAGCTTCCATTAGAAATCTGAAGGTGAGGTTCACTGATATGCTGGACAAGCTTTTGCATATCAGCTCTCAGTTACTCAAGGTTGATCTTGCCATTGTTACCAGTGTCCATCATTTGGAATGCCTCGTTTGTACCAGCCACTCCTTCCACAGATAAAAACTCTGCAATCATCGTCAAAGCGTTTTTCTTGAGCTTGTTCATTACAAAGAATTGCTTTAAGCCTTGCTCTCGTGGTTTCACACCCAAAGATACATTTGGAACCTTGTTTACACTTATCATGATATCATCAATAATTGGTACATGGTTGTATATCCTCTCTCCTAGGAGATTATTGACCATATTGTGGTTTCCTTCTCTCAATCTGATTAAGATGAATTTCGATGGGTGCAGCCTTGGTTGGTAATCCAGGTGAGTCAGGAGTGGGTGGACTCATTAGAAACTATGGAGGACATATCTTGGCAGTGTTTTCTGGCCCTATTGAGGATGGTCAATGGTGATTCCATAAATGTAGAACTTTTGGCAGTTCAACAAGGATTTGAGGTTGGCTAAGGTCCTAAACTTTAGAACTTGCTTGTAGGCTGGATTATAAATGATAGTGGGGAATCGTGGTATTATAGACATGAACTATAACGAAATTTTGAATGTTACTAATAAAAACCATTAAAATACAGGTGTATCACGTTTAAGTCCCCCCTCCCCCTAGGCAAAGGGAGATAAAGAACTAAAGAAGGGTTTGGTGCCTCCTTGCCTATATGGCTGCAGCACTCTTTCCTCACTCAGGCTTCCTTGAAAGGGTGGAAATTCCCTGTTGTAGATTAGAATAAGGTTGAACTTTTCTATCCCATGCTTTGACATGGTAGTGATTCGTGAGTGGTCTCTAGGGATTTGTTTTTGCACCTGGGCATGTGGGACCAAAGAAAGTAGTCAGGCAGTCTGGACAAATCAATCAATCTTGGAAGTTTTTACAGAATTTAACAGGACCAACTGGATGAAAGGACATAAACATCCGAACTATAGTGGACCAGGTCTCATAAATATACTTGTTTGAAATCAAAATGCAGGGCCAGTGCTGATCACATGTGACCTATGAAGGGGTGGAATGTTCATGTCAATGATACATCTTTTGATGGCTTTATTCCCCCCTTCATTGATACCAAGCTAGATTTTTGGACATGTGGTTCTAGACCACAGCCCAGAATAAAAAAGGTTTGTGGAACAGAAATGGTTTTCCTGCATCTGGTTCTCTCATATTAGTCTAAATCCTAGTAACATATCTATGCACATTCACGTGGATTAAGCTTCGTTTATTGTCATTCTTTTTCACTTACTAGTCTTTTGGATGCTGTTAATCAGCTTCCTGCTTTATTCTGAAAGCTTTGCTTTTACCCCTTTCCTTACCACCTTGTTGATAAATTCATATTACATTGTCGTTTTGTCCCGAATTGACTAGTATTTGTGATAAATGCAGGGGGTCCAATTTGTTGATAAGTTCATCTTACTTTGTTGTTTTCACCTGAGTTGACTAGTATTTGTGATAATTGCAGGGGGTCCAATTCCATCCTGAAAGCATTATAACTAAAGAAGGAAAAACCATTGTCCGCAATTTCATCAAAATGATCGAGAGAATGGAGGCCAAATTGGACAATGAGGCGTATAAAACTTTTTAACAGGTCTAAAATATTCTGTAGAAGCAACAAGAAATTGTTGTAAACATTATCTTTCTTGAAAGAAATAAGATTAATTTTTTACCCAGTAATCTGTTCTTATGCTCCATTCTTTGCTATTTTTCTTTCAATTTTTTCAAGCAGTGAAATTGATTGCCGTTATCATCTCCTCTGAAAACTTGTGGAAATTAACCCCACACAAATGTGCTAGTATACCAGAGCTTGAAGGAATTGTCTGATACTGCAGACCATGACCCATTTTGTTATGACCCCAGGGACCACCTCTTGAATCATGTCAAGATGGTATTCAAATGAACAAATCCTGGGTCCAGCTCCAGCAGATACCCCCGAGCCCTTGTAACCTTAGGTAGAGTGACTGGTGTAGAGAACTGAGATAGTCACTGGTGTTAGGCCTCACTTGACTGAGGATACTCTAGTCCTAGGCCATGATACTTGTTTTGAACAACGAACTGGTTTTCTAGTGCAAAGAAAGAAACTGCTCTTTTTTTCCAGTATGACACCCATAGGAGCTAGCCAGAAGGCCAAAGAAATGAATCGAGTCCATCCAGTTAGAAATGTGGATGTCATAAAACTCCTATTGCCCAGTTTTCTTGTGTTCGGGTTTTGCATTATCAGAATTTCTGCCCCCCGACTCCAATCTTTAAGATCAGGAATTTAGCACCCTAGCATGTTCAGGACCCAGGACCCTAACCCTAAACACTCTGGGGATGGGGCAACGGCTACAAGCCTACAATGGTTTATTTGTCCGTGTTTGAGTTGGCTTTTACTCATTCAGACAAGTTGGCCTGTTTTTTCAGGCAATATCTGGCCTTTTTCTTCAGACAGTCTCTGTGATGAGGGCCCCTGTTGCTGGTCTTGATGTCTCAGCGGACCGGTTGGGATTTAATAAAAATACGGCCATAAAAGAACATGCATGCAGGCAGAAACGTGAAGAAAAAGTAAGTCCTGAAGCTAACACTATGCAGCTGTAGTGTATAGTCAGGGTTGTCCTCCAAAGCAATCAAGCCTTTGGATGGGAATCGTATCTATAAAGCTTTAACCTAATCCTACATAACAAATGGGTGGAACGTGGAAATAACCCAGACAAAATAACAGGATGAGTGAAAGCACCTGGGTTGTTGTGTTAGTGCTCGAAAATGCAAAACCCACATCCATAAGAATCCTCCTGTTCTGCCATTCCACTATATCTGAAGCCGCATCCTGCCTTGAGCTTTCAAATCACACTTGTGGAATCTTGACCAAATACAAAAGCAACCGACGTTTGATTTTAATTTCCTTACTTTATTGCACTGTTAGACAAAGGGCCCACTGATGAGATAGAGCTGTCTTTCATAGTTTGTACAAACTGCAAAATTCTAGTATGTGGGTGGGACCCCCAAACGATGTCCTCGTTCACAAGGGTGTGTATTAACTGGCTTTTTCCTTCTCCTTTTCCTCCCCATGAATGAAAGGAATTGAGAGAGAAATCTTAAAAACCAAAACAGAACAAAAACAAAGACAAATCAAAACAAAACAGAAACCATTAAACCTAACCTCCACCCCCAAGTACTTCCAAGAGATTCCCAACTGCCACCCACTAGCAAAAACAACTCTTGGAAACCATCCTTTCCCTCTCATTAACGACAAGTTCACATCACAGGATTTCTTATTTTTCTTCTCTTCAATAGCTCCAGTGATTGGCATTTGGCAACCCCATCAAATCCATACATACCCCCCACTACAATCCAAGGGCCTAGGTCCCTCCACCTATGCCCTACTCATTTGTAAGTCCCAAGCTCCAAACCCTTACTTGATATTGTCCCTCCCATAGTTCCAAAAATGCCCTTGTGGCCCCACCCCATTTCCTCAAAACACAAAACAAAGCAAAGAACAGCAACATCAATGGCCAAGAAAGAAAATAAATGCCCACCTTCATAGTTCATATATTTATTTATTATTTAAGTAGCTGGTGGGGTGGGAAGTACAAAAATCATCCACCATAAACAGGGGGGGTAAGGAAGGAAGACAACAGAAATCAAAATTCAAAACTATCAGAATAGAAAATCGCTGGAGACTAGCTATGAATATATATATACCAACATAAAAGAAAAGAAAGAAAAGTCCATTGACCTACCCACCACCCTCAATTCTCAAATAAATCTTCCACTCTCTCTATTCACAAAAGAACACAGACCCAACCAAATGGAATTGACAAAAGAGCCCAAATCGAATCACATCAATTACATTACACCCTCTCCTCCCACTCATATTGTGATGCCCTCATCCCCGTTCATCCGGCTCCGATGATGCCGCTTCCCACGGTGGCGCCGCCCTCCGCCGAACGTCACCGGGTCGAACCCTCTAAGCCTCTCGGCTTCCCGTGAATCAATCACGCACTCCGACGGCGGAATTGAGTACCGCAGGCGGTCGTAACAGTACGAATATGTCATGTACTTCTTCCTGAAGTTCACCATTTCGACTCGCTGCTTCGACGTGATTCCGGCCACCGGCAACGGCCCGGCGAAGAGGGCATCGAGAACAGCCTGGTCGCACTTCGGGGACTGCTCAATTGGGTCGACTGCGCAGCCGTGGAGGACTAAATCGGAGAATTCGGCAATGTAGGGGGCATACTTGTAATTTACTTTGTACCTGCCCCCGTTTGTAGCCCAGTTGGACCCATCCCATATTGTTGCATACAGAGACATCGGTTTGGAGGGAAAATCTCCACCCATTTCTTTAGTCCTCTGTATCTCTCTAATTGGAGTTTCGTCAACGTAAAATCTGCAGAATTCAACAAAAAAATGGTTGGATTAGCCGAGAAATTAAGCAAAAACAGCAATCTTTTCAAGTTGTAGAAAAATTAAGCAAAAAGAAGCAAATAAAGAAGCTCCTTTTGCGGCCAAGCCTAATACAGAAAAAACAAAGAGATGAACAGAGTAAGAAAAGAATTTTTTTTAGACAGATTATCGAGTCTTTTGAGAGAAAAGTTTGAAACTTGAATATGATCAATTATGAATAGAACAGGGGATGAGCAAAAATGGAGGAGCAAAAGTGAAGCTCTCTGTGAAGATTTCCAGAAAAAGTATCTTTCTTCTTATGCTAACAAGCACATCACGTCATCAAAGAGCCAAAGCCAAAGGAATCGACTCCATGCGAGAGAGATTAAAGAAGATACGGAAAGAACGGGTATAAGCCATTCGATTAGGATTAAAAAGCTGCAATGGCAGTAGTGATTATTTAAAAATAGAAAAATCTAAGAGAATCCGCAAGTGGGTGAGGTGGTTTGATCTTTACATGATGTGATTCTCAGTCCAGAGAATGCTGTACTGATGGAAGTCTTCGGAAGGGTCGAACCAGAAACTGTATCTCTCTTCCCTCCCGACGGTCGTGCTTCCATTGCCGTATATATTCGTTTGAATCCTCCATTCCTTCCCTCGAATATTCCCCAGGAACTCAAAATCTATCTCATCGTGGTTCCTCTCGAATATATCCCCATTCGACATCTGCAGAAGACCAGATTATTAAAAGAAAATGAAAAAAAAAAGGAGTTCTGGGTTTGATTGATTTTCTTAGATTTTCTGATCGAAGCACTCACATAGAAGGCTACAACCACTCCGGCGGTGTAATCAGCCGGAAGCTTGATCGAAGCGCTGAAGAACCCATGCAGGTAAAGGTCCTGGGATACAAATCCAGCACCTGGGTATTCCAAAGAAAAAAAAAAAGAACTCTGTCAAAACCCCCCAAAAGAGCTCCACAAAAGAGAAAACAAAGAAAAGAAAAGCAAACCAAGCAAAGAAGAAAAGTGAAAGAACGATAGAAAACAGAGCAAGAAAGCGAAGTACCTGTTCTTTCGTCAAGAGAGAGATGAACCGTTTTACCATCTCTAAGGAGCATCAGATTGTCTTCCCCGAATAGCTGAGAATAACCTTCATCGAACGACAGGACCGGCAGATTCTTTGGAGTAGCAGAAGCAAGAACCAAAGCAGAGAAAACCATCAACCAACCCAGAAAATAAGAACCCATCATCGTTTTCCTTCCTTCTCTTTCTTTCCCTTCAAAAAAAAAAAAAAAAACGAATCCTTGTGTATATATTTTCACAAACTCTGTATCTCTCTCTCTCTCTATGTATTTATAATTATACAGTGTTTTTTCTCCTCCTTTCTTCTGGAAGAGGAGCTCGAATCTCTACATAAATGGCGATGGAGGAAGCCGAAAAGGCAGAGAGACAAAGAAAGAAAGAAAAGAAGCAGCAAGAGAGAGACAGGAAGAAAGAGAGACACGGGAAGGTCATTTTATTGGGTTGGAGCCTTTGAAGAGAGAGAGAGAGAGATTAGCACTTCATTTATGGACAAATTTAAACTGATTAAATTAATTATCTCTTAATTATCTATTGCTAATCACTGCATTAGCGTTAACTAACCTCTTTGTTTCTTACTCATTTTCAATAAATAATTTATATTTAATTAATATTTAGAAAGAAGAGGGGCAGCTTCGTTGCATTTCTGATAAGGCAACCGCCCAAGGCGCCGGCCCATTTTGGTTTAGTGCTTAACCTTATCTTAAGCCCATCCTTTCTTACGAAAATTACGAAATTACCTCCTGCAAACAACGCTTAATTAAACTGCATTAACGAACTTCCAGAACAAGGAGTGGCATTTTCGTGAGTAACATGGAGGAGCTAGGACATTAAATGGACGACGCGCACGCGGCCGGTTCGACCACGAGAAAAGAAACGATAAGGCCGTATTTTAATTAAGCGGCGCGTATGGTAGTGAAACGTGGCGGGCACGTGGACAAGTTCTGCACGAGGACCAAAGAATCGGGAATTCATCGCCGAGGAGGAGGAGTGTCGCAGTCGGGTCTCGGAATATTTATCAGCGGAGATGTGACAGCGTGTCCCTCCACGTCAACAAAAACTAGCCGTTGCCTACAGCAAGAGAGAGTGAAAACAGCAGCAGCAGCAGCAGCAGAGGAGTCATATACTTGCTTACAGCGTAATTCAAGGGGCTGATTTTCGTCTTTACTGCGATGGTAACGGCGTTAATTGTGCAGTCAATGCCGTTGACATGAATTAAAGCAGAGAAATCCCTCGCTTCTAACGTCCGTCATTTTTCTTCTGTATCCGTGACCCCCCACGGATGGGCCCCACCTCTCACGCGCCTAAAACAAAGAACGTTTCTTACCTCTCTCGGGAATTGGGCTCGGAAAATTTTGCTGCTCTTTAGTGAGCTCCCCTCCTATGTGCGTAGGTTAGCCTAGGCTAGTTGGATAGTCTAACGTATGCGTGAGGGGTCCACTCATGGCCTTGTGCATTGATGAGTTGATCTCTAGGTACATTGAGGACGATGCTCCCTACGCCACGTCAGTTTCATGGTCATCACGCATCGCCCGTAGACAAATGGTGGCACATCCCTAAACTTATGCCTCCCAGGTAATCTCCACCGTCCGATGCGATTCTTTGCATTGAACTGCGTAGCATCACCTGCATCGAGTGCGAAGTGTGCTGGGTATCGCTCGATGTCCTATGAACTGAGATACCAATTGAACGTGGCAGATCAAGGCACGGGTTGCCAATTGTATCCTTGATTAGGGTATGGTGTGAGCCCATAATCGAGGTGGCCATTATTAGCCATGATCAATCTTCTTGTTTAATTAATCCTCTTAATTTGGAGATAATCCCGAAGGATTAATTTAGTCGGGTTGGAATTGGTGATGGAAACAGGAAAAGACTATAACGCCCCCGAAAAGTTGAAACCCAAAAGGTTGTGAATCTTGCGATCTATTTGGACCATCTCGTGTCGTCAACACTTATCGGGGATATTTTCCAACGAACGTGGGTATTCTCGTCAACGAGGCAGATTATCATGAGATGTGACAAAGGATGTTGCCTTTCCCTCTCTAAAGCCAAAGATTTATATTAATTAAAGAAAGCTGAAAAAAAAAATTAAGCAAAAGAAGGAAAAAAAGCAGCAACAGAGTACTTTTGGGATGCTGCCTTTGCCCGCCGTCTAAGAAATCGAGCTTATTCATTTGGTGGGGTCCACCAAATAATCCCCACCCACGTGTCCAATCTCGTCCCATGCGGCTTTTTTTACGACGTGGCCTCCCATTGTGGTTTTGCCACGTCATCGACAGCGACGTTGCAGCTATCTGCGCCGGGTTTGCGCCTATCCGTTCAGACGTGGCTCTGGCCCCCTCCCGCCTCCCTGTCCCTGGCCCCCCAATCCACCAAATGACAAGTTCTTTCACAATTAGCCAGTAGGGCCCGGTACCGAACTAAAGAATCCCAACCCGGTTGGACCAGTAAGAACTCATTCTTTAAAATCTAGTCCAACCAGTTCGACCATCTGATTTCAATCATTCAATCTGCTCTTTTACCTATTCCTGCTTTCCATGGGTCCGATCTGATTTTAGGACAGTGTGGACCAGTCCTGAACCAATTAATAATCCGGATAATTGGGTCTGACCCAATTATATTTTGATCTATAATTACCTATGGTAATAACAATTTTGAATTTTATTTTTTATAATATAACCCTAATAAAAATTATGGTACATAATTGATAAGACAATATATTGTTTATGAAATTTATCCTTTTAGACATAAAATATAACAAAGATACAAAAAAAATTAAGACCGATTTAGTTCTTAATTGGTTAAGAACAACAAGAACGACACCCAATCCAATTAAAATCGGGATATAAAACATAGAATTGGAATCGAAACAATCAGTTCAATCGGTTTGGTTCCATCAGAAAAACCCAATCCATTGACAGCTCAATCCTGGTCATATGCATTCTACCCGGTCCGGACCGGATTTTCTAACCTTGATGAAGAAGAAGACCCCATGGTCTACATTTGCATATTAATTTTGGTATAATCACGAGAACAACAAACAGGGTTTTCGAGCCACTAAACACAGCCGTCCGATTAACCGGGTCAATTTGACTTGACAGCTCGTGACCCCAAACAGGGTTTAAATTCAACATGAAATCAATCATCTTGTTGCCGGATCTCTCCAGTCTCCACCTTTGTACCTGAATCCATCATTAAATAAAAAAATAGATTTAAAATTATTAAAAAACTTAATTAATTAATCTAAGAAATATGCCTAAAAATGTACTTTCGAACAGAATATGTTGGACCGTGGTCCGACCGGGGGTACCCTTTCTATCTTGACTTGTGAAAGAGACACTTTTTTTTTTAAATAATAAAAAAAAGATAATTAATAGTTAAATATTCTAAATGATGTGGTGGTTCAAAGGTTCTTCAAGCACTTAACTTTTGTTTGATAGCAAATTCTCGTAGCTCCTCTTATACTATATTTATTCCCGACAACTCGGTATATAGGGACAATTAGGTCTAGCCCTCCTGAGTCCTGCCTTCTCACTTCCACGTGCTGTAGTGCTTACCAACTCATTGTTGTATATTATAATGTTTCTTACTAGTCAACATAATTTATGAATCTGTAACCGTTCGGTTGTGGACTCTCTTTGATGGTTAAAAAGAATCGTGAGTGGATTTGACAAGAATCAAATTCGTGGAACGATCCTGACCGTCTATTAGTGTTGTCATATGTCTTGCTAACCTGTTCAGGATCAAGACCATCCGATCAAACAGCCTTGGTTGTTTGGTGGTTCCACTTCCATCTGTGTTTTGAATTTGGATTTAGGAAAAGCAGCATCTTGATTTGAACCTGGACACCCTGTGGTCTGTGTTTTCAGCCTGTTGTTGTGTTGACCTCGGTCGGTCGAATCGGTAATCTGATCACAATCCCGGTTTGGTTAATTTCTAATCAACAAATGTTACGAAAAAATATCCATTTGACTCGATGGCCTGTCAACCTAGATAATTGGACCATTGACCCATCTAAGTTGTTGGGTTTTTTATTACTTTATTTTTAATAATACAATAACTATGATGCCGGAAAGCATGATATCATAAAAAAATTGAAAATTTATGATATAACCCCTCATATATATTGTTCCGAATCCTCACTTATGATTATAGTTCAAAGTATTAATCGATACATCTTTTATTTTATTAATTTTCAGTTTATAATTATATATATGTATATTATTTAATAAAAAAAAGGAGTTTCGTGAAAATACTGTAAAAAGGTGTATTTCTAGGTGTATGGGCATCTAAAGATATGATAAAATACACCTCATATCGGGCATATCATCTTAATACGTTGAATCTTGCTTATGCTATAATGGGACTGGATATAATAGGCACAATAAAATAAGCATTTTAAATGAGTACTTGATAAATATTTTGACAATTGTCAAAAGTGAGTATTAATCTTTTTCAATGGTAGACTGGGGTATTTTAAGGGACAGGTGTCAAAAAATTTTCCAAGTGCTCAATTGACGTGCTTACAATGTTATGCCTACCTAAGTCGAACAGTGCTATAATACCTCTTGTATTGTCATAGCTTCCCCCACTTGTCATGATTCCAACTATACAAATCATAAAATTTTGAGGCCAAGGAATCAATAAAAACCCCTAAAAACTTTGACCAATCACAACTTTCTTGACTGTGAATTTTAATGAATCCCAACTGATTGATTGCCACTTTTCTGATCCCAATTGCCATTTTTTTATGCTCAGTTTGGAAGGAGTATGAATACAAATATGTAGAGTGAAAAACATTGTATTTTATATTATTTTATGTGTATTTACACTGTTGTATTCCTTTCAATTTAGATAACGTTGATAATAGGGGAATCATAAAAGTAGCATGGGGTTTTGTGCACATTATTATCATTATTATTAAGATAGCTAGGTGCCATTAGGCACCACATAGACCAAGAAGTAAAATACATTACCTTTCACATAATCCAATATGTTTAAAGTTTTATAAATGCCTCACCCAAACAAGAGAAGTATATGATTAAAGTATTATAACTATATAGTAGTGTTTTCGAACTATCATTGACCCAAATGATTGGACCATTTGGCCTGAAAACCATCAGAAAATCGGTTCCGTTCCACCCTTAACTCGTTTTTGGTAAAAAATTATTGACTTATCAGAAAACCACTAACTCAGGTAGTCGAACCGTCAACTTGAATAGCGATTTGTAGTTTAATAATATTAGAGAGGGAAGGAATTGAGACAAGAATGATCTCAGATCAGAGATCTCGCTAGATCCCAAAGACAAGAGAGAGAGAGAGAAAGAGAGAGAGAGAGAGAGAGAGAGAGGAAGAAGAAGAAGAAGAGAAATCAGATCCCAGATCTGAGATCTTAGTTATTAGACCTCATATCTCATTTCTGTTGCCATTGCGTTT